TTTAATACTGTTTTATTTCTAATTCATCAACCAATACCTTTTCTTCCTTTTTGGGGAGTCAGGGTCTTGCTACGTAGTTCAAGTTGGCCTTGAACTCATGGCCACTCTCCTGCCTCAGCCTCCTGAGTGCTGGGATTTCAGGAGTGTACCACCACACCCAGCCTCTTTCCTTCCCTCTTTGAAGAGTGATTTTTCCCTTTCTTTCTGTTTCTCAAATCCTCTTTGATCTTTGCTGTTGTTCTGTTCTTGCTACTGATGGTCCTCCCCTTAAGGAGGACCAAAACCCTGCTGGAAATAAGATGGTACTCACCATTCTTGGCAAACCCTGTAAGGCATTATGGACATCTAGTGGCTGCTCAGGATAATGTCTCAGGGATGTAATGCATATCAGGGTGGGCAGTGGTGTGGCCAGGGCAATTCCAGGGCCTCTGTGCCCAGGTAGTCATAACGTTACTCTGAATGGCACACCAGTTACACTGAAGACCCATCTTTATCCCAATTCAGCAAAATATAATAGCACCTACATAAAAGACCACAGCAAGCAGGCAGGCATTTGGAAATATCTTCAAGGTGTGGGTTTAAACACCCATTATCTACACGTCAACATCTTGACAGAAGGAATGAACTCGAAAGACAGACTCTGGTATTAGTCATGTGGCTTTAGGTAAGTCACTGTGCCTCTCAGCTTCCTAACGACATCTGTAAAATGAGAGGCTAAGTCCAGACAATCTCCAAGGTCTCTTTCAGTGTTAACATTTTGTGATCTATAAGCCTTTTTAGCAGCTGGGAAAACAGTCTGATCTGCTCTGCTCCAGCCCTGTGGATCTCTAGATTAAACTGAAGGAAGCATTCTCTTCTCAGCTTCGTGGCCCATTTCCAAGACTTGGCCACAATCCCAAAGATCAACTTTCTTCACAGAGCTACATGCGTAAGAAGGGGCTGGAATCATGGACTATGAGAACGGTGAGGAACTTTCTAGTTCACTTCTTTGATTTTCTAAAGTAAGCAACAGAGGTTATAGCTATTTTAGGATTCACCATGTGTCTAATCAGTGACAGAAAAATGAGGACTCAGGTAGTCCAGTCTTTGTGCAGGTCCAGTCTCTCCTATTAGCTTCTGCAGCTTTCCCCACAGGTCTCTCGGGGCGAAGCTGCATGTGAAAACATCAACGCATTTTTCTTCATTCTCTTCCTCCTTAGCTTTGAGCCTCCTTCCTTTCTTGCTTCTTGGTGGCACTACTCCAATTCCAGGAAGCAGTCAGAAGCAAGGGCCGCAGGGGCAACACAACACAGCTCGAGCCCTCGGCTTACCAAGATGAGAGTCTGCAGGGCCACCTTCAGGTCAGAAGGGCTGAGCGCTGCAAAGGCTCCGCAGCCTCATCTTTGGTTTGCGGGTCTCAGGTGCCTTTACAGCCCAGGTGGCCTCTATAGTGCAAAGCAGCCCCATCATGTAGTGCTCCAGGGAAGCCTGGGAATATTCCCCTTATCAATAGCAGCTCCAAATATTTATTGTGAGACAAGCTCATTACTAAGCACTGGTTTGATCCAAGTCAGCCCACCCTTCCATCTACCTTCACAGTGTGGGGGCAGCAGCTTCCACTTGCTGGGCCTAGAGCTGAACAGATGGGGCCGAGTTTGCCTACACAGGCAGGAAACCAGCCTAGGCAGAGCCTCTCTTCTGCCTGAAGATGGAGGAGCAGTTCTACTCCAGTGCGCCGCCCAGACCCAGGCTGGGGTCTCCTCTGATACCAGAGCCCTCTACTTGCTCAGGGCCAAAGGTGGCATTGAGAGGACCCTCCTCCACAGATCCCTGTCAGGCTGGGTTCACATTTCCTGGGTCCACAAGACAGTCGTGCCCTGCCTTGAACTCAGGACATGAAAATGGGAATTTACTCAAGACACAGCTGATAAGGGGCCTAGATGGAACTGAACTCTAGTATCACAGTATGACTTATTCCATTTCTCTTTCATTTTTTTCCTCCTTTTTTTTTGGACTGGTCATGAGTAAAACAAGTTTAAAAGATTTGTTTTCTCAGCCCTTCCTTTCCTTCTTTTATTTCATCTTATTTTTCTATTATATATGACAGACTTTCACAGTCTTCCCCTGACCTTGCCTCAGCTATTTAGTCCATGCAGAGCAGATTCAGGAGATGTTTTTGTTAGTAATGCAAACACTGATCTCAGGGTTTAAGGCTGGCCTAAAAAGCTGGCTCTTCACTTTCTAGATGGAGGATTGTGAGCAAAATATTTACTTGCCTGAGGTAAATGTCTGCTTCTATAAAATGGATACGAAAGTGACAATTAGTTCACTGGGGTAAAAGAAGATTAAAACTAGAACAGATACACAATTGTTTCCTCTTGAGACAAGGTTTTGTTACAGAGCCCAGGCTAGCCTTCAGAGGCTCCTGCCTTAACCTCTTCAATGCTGAGACTGCAGGCATGATGGCACACAGTAGATATATATATCTATACATATCAGTGAATTACAAGTAGATGGGTGAAACCTGAGTTCTCATCCCATTGGGAGAACACTTTGGGGAATCCCTTCCATAACCGAGTTCCTTGACATCTATCTGAGGTCTGCCAGTGACCACAGGCAACATTTTGACCCATTCATAAAATGGTTAATAGAGTTAACTGGAAGATTAACAGTGGTACAAAAGGAATAAGGGTCCAACAAATACTAACTATTCTTATTTGGCCACAAATGCAAACAGAGAGATCTTTGGTAAAGAATAGGGACATCAATTTGCCTACAATGGAACTTTCTAGGACTTGGGAACACAGTGGCAAATCTAAGGAGGTTCAGGTTATTGGGCAGCAGACAATGCTGAGATTATGGGTGTGGTAGAATCTAGAAAGCTGAGAAAACCTGCATCTCCTTATTAAGCACCAACCCACGTGCAGGCAGTGAAGGTTTAACAAGCAAGCTTGCCTGGCACCACTCAAGGAGAGGGGTGGGGAGTGAGGAGTCTGGAGGCAGCACTACAAAGGGCAGCATACTAAAATGATGGCATATTCTACTGGACTGTGTCTCAGGGGCTGGCACAGAGCACCCGACCCAGCCTAGGCAGACAGAGGGTCTTTCCTGGGCAGTGGGAAAAAGCTGATCTAGTCTCCCTCTTCTGCCACAAATAAGAGCCAGAATTCCCTTGCCAGCACACTCTACTGCAGGTTGCTACGCAGTTCTTCTCCCGGAGTCCCGAGAAGAGAGGGGAGAGGAAAGGGGCGACACAGAGCCAAGGCTGCAGCTACGTGAATGAACCGTGGGTTGCGCCGTGGGCTCTGGGAGTTCACCTCAATCATTCCCAGGTTGTCATTCCCCGCTCCTTGCACTTGGTCTTTCCTTCCACTGTTTCCCGCCCCCGCATCCCTCATTAAAAAAACTATCATTTAAAGCTCTAGTTAGAGCTCAGGAGGGATGAGGGAGTGTGCGAGGGAGGGGGGCAGGAGGCCCCGGCATTTGGTCTTCGGGTTCCCAGCAGCCTGGGCCATCTCCCCCAGCCCCCGCCCCAGTCCCCACCATCACGCAGCTCCTAACTCAGAGTACGAGCCTGCCCGACCCGCGCAGCGAAGCGCCCGGTCAGCATTCGGCGGGGGTGAGGATGACGCCGGCCGGGCGGGAGGCCGGCCAAGTGTCGCGGGCCCATCGCGCACCGCCGCGCCCCCAGCTCGCGGCCGG